TGTGGCTTAGGATGTAGGGAATGCTGCAGGCGAGGGCCAAGGTGCGTTTCAGAACTGGTGGTAGGGAATTTCAGTGCTGACTGCCTGTCTGCAGTGATCCCAGAAATGAGGGAGATTGCTGTGAAGTTCCTCACTTCTATGTGGTGTGTTTTCTTTCCTGGGCAGTCTGATGAGTCTTGCTATATGCTTTGACTCCATTTCACTCCATAGGTAACACCTTACTACAGGTGTGATTGTGAATGTGTACTAGCCCCGACCAGGACTTACTGACCTTTGAAGGTCCCTTCCAACCCAAACTGCTCTATGATTCTGTGATATATTTTGAGTCCCCTATGCTTTTTGTAGTCCTTTCTGTAAGGCTTTGGAATCCCCTTGATTCTCTCCAGATGTGGATTACAGCGTGACTTTCCCACATACATCTTGGCAAACCGGTGGGTTGGATTCTGCCCCCAGAAAGAAGCCGGGTCTGTAACGCGGTGTCAAGTGTGCTTTGCTATGTCTGGGATGCCAGAGCAGGAGAACGGGACTGTCAAAGTGGATGAAATGTGGAAGGTGGTAGTTGAAAGCTCACCTGCATCTGCACCTGCAGGAGGGTTCACAGAGACAGGCAGGGGATGTGTTACCATGACTGAAAGCTTTCAGGAGTTTTCTTACTCAAGCATGTAATTAAGACAGTCTTTGCCTGTATTAAAAAGCAGCCCCAGAGTCAACTGTATTTCTCTTAAACTGCAGTATTTGAGATAATCTTCTTCTTAAATAAAAAGAAATAAGATTTCTAATCTCGTGGCAGGAAATCTGTATTCACTGCACTAAACCTCTACCCATTGCTGCTGCCTATAAATATCTGTTTTATTCAGAGCCAGGTAGGAATCGCGTGTAGCGTCTGGGAGCAAATGTGGGAAGGGAATTCCTCCTGAACTCCCATGGCTCCTCATTTGTATGCTGGGAGGCACATGGCTTCATTATGCACGTCATCTCGGGGGGTTATTTTGCAAAGCAGTGGTTGTGTTTGAAGCCCTGTGTTTGACTCGGAAGTTAATATATTTGGTATTTAAGAATCTGGCAAGAGAATCTCTGTCCCCATATGCACACACAGCAATGAGGCTGGGATGTAGGCATGCCTTCACTGTTATTTTCCCCCGTCTGTCCTATCCCTAGAAAGCCATATGCCACCCTTAGGCTAACATAATGGGAGTCTGTATTAATGATTATGAGCTAGAAATAATCCAAGAAGAGTTGAGTGGCCTTTGATTCAAGCTTTATGGGAAAATATGACTCAGTAGGGTTGGAAATTCATAGAATCAGACTGGTTTGGATTGAAGGGACCTTAAAGCTCACCCAGTTCCAAGCCCCTGCCACGGGCAGGGACACCTTCCACTAGAGCACTTGCTCCAAGCCCCTGTGTCCAACCTGGCCTTCATATAGAATTTCGTGATGCTATATCTTGGGATTCATTTCTCTTTTTTTTGGCCTATATTGATCAGGGACTCGGGTTCCTCCTGTCTAAGGGGCAGAGCAGGAACTTGAGCAAAGAGGTGAAAATGAGAGGGAGTTGTTGACTCACCTGCTCTCAGAAGCATCTTGAGCACACATCCTTGGAGAGCCTACGCTCGGCAGGGTTTCTATAGGCATTGAGTGCCTGGTCTGTTGGCAGCCTACAGAATGCAAACTCTATGTATGTATGCATGTGCAGAAGTGGTGATGGGAAAGGAGATGTGGGAATGGGCTGAAGTATTAAAGCAAGCAATGAAAGCAGATGGTTCACTCTGGATTTTATAAAATAGGTTTCTTTTTAGTTTGCTTTAAATGAAAACTATCAACTGTCAGCATTGCAAACCTGTTTGCAGCAATGCCATAAGTATTAGGAGTGCAGTTGTCCCTGAATCATAAAAGGGCAGAGGGTTTTTCTGCTGCTTCCCATCTTCATGTTTATAGAATTGTGTGCTCTGTATACATCAGAGCTGAGCAATTTCATCACAGCCTTCCCTCAGAATTGATTGCAGTTCAGTGTCTCTTCCTGCTTCCTCTCCCTTGTCAGTTGGTTACATCTCTGACTCTTGTTACGTTTAATATTGACACTGCTTCAATTTTCCACTAAACTGGAAGTGTTTAAGGGTCTGGAGTGGATACTGAGTGTCTCGATGTATTCTTTACATGCTTTAATTCCTCTCACCGTGGAAAAGTTTAGAGCTGGATTATTGCCTTAAGAAGAAACGAGTCTTTGCTCATTCAGTGATGAAGTCTGGTCATCAAGATGTTAGAATATGTGCTGCTGAGCTCTTCAGATACTGACATGAGAGCAGGAGTTGGTGCCAGCAGCTGTGCTGGGTTTTGGGCACCTGCTGCCTCTCATTTCTCGAATCTCCCACTCTTATCTTCCACTCCCAAAGTTGGCAGTGCCCCTAAAAATACTCTGTATTGAGTTCTGAAGTAGGAGATAGCTACCAAGCTGGATTCCTGAGTCACTGGTCATGCTGCAGGGAAGTGAGTTACATGACAGAGTTCTTGACTATGGCAAGGTAACGCGTATCTAGTGTGAAGCTGGCTCCATCGGGTTACCAAGGTGCTGCCCTTCCTCAGGGTGCTTGGAGTCTTCTCCAAGTGGACTCTGTCTTTTCCCCCCATACAAATCGCTAAGACAGGGGCTGCTGGTTTGGTCTGAGATCCTGTTTCAAGAACCTTTTGCCTCTGATACTGTCAAGAGGAAGAATTCGATTTGGTTTTGACCCAAACTGTTAAGTCCAACATCTATTCATCTTCCTGTGACTGCTGTCCTGTGGGTACCTGGAGAGAAATGAACCCTTGGTTTAGCAGCAGAGTCCAGCTCTATCCACCAAGGGCTAAAAGATGGCTTGTGTCCAGGGCTGGGGTTATGAAGCTCCCAAGCCCCCTGCTGGGAGCTGGAAGTGAAACTCACCTGGCTGGGAAGTGAGGAACCCAGATCTTGCTCATTTCTTAAACAGTTTACTTGCACTTTGGAAATATTAGTGCACACACTGTGTCTTTTGTTACCAGCGTTGGTAAATCCAGGTCTACAAAGAGGTCCTGGCACGTGCTTAGAGGCAGCAACACTTGAAGCAGTAGCCCTCGTGAGTTTTCAGTTTTGTATTATTTTCTTACTCTGTTTAGTCTGTGCTTCACTCCCAATGTAGTTATTTTTTCCCAGTGCATCCATTTTCCTACTGCATCTACACTCATTTTAATGCTCCTGCTTCCATTCAATGCAGTGTATCTGGTTTTGGAGTAGTAATTTCCCCACCTCTTGAAAGGTGAGAGAATTAAACCCCTTGGCACTGCCTGCAGGAGAGATGCCCTGTGGTTAGTAACAGTGCTGTTCTTAAAACTGATTCTGCTGTTGTGCATTGCATCTTACAGGGGTATAGGAGGGACCACCTATGGGTGGTAGGGCTGGTTCCTTCTCCCTGCTCTCTTCTCAGTGACTGCCCAGTGCCACTGAGTTAGTGCCTTGTGTTCATTTGGCCCTGCAAGCCAGGAATGTGAGAGGTGAAGGTTTGGGCACCCCAGGGATGACAGTTGTGTGTCCAGTAACGAGCTCCCGGTGTGTGTTCCCTACCTGCTGAAATAATACCATGTGCCATAAAGAGCCAGTGTCCTCCTGCCCATCTGCTGAGCATGGAGAGCCCTGCGGTTGCTAGAACGGAACACCAAAGCTAAGCACATGTGTCCTGACTGGAAAAATCAGCAGGAAGAGAAGCGTTATTGAAACCAAGCTTCCGTCAACATGGGGCAGTGATTCCTGGTGCAAACCTGTTGTGTGTGGCTTTGGCCAGGGACTTGGTGCTGTTAAATGAACCCTGCCTGCAGAAAGGGGGGACTTGGCGTCTCCTGCTTGAACTGTAGATGTTCAGTTCCAGCCTTCTCAGCTGTTGTAAGGGATGAGGATGGACGACACACATGGCTGATGCCACCGCATCCCTCAGCTACCTGAAGTGGTCGCTCCGTGCCGTTAAAGCGATGGCAGATCCCATAAATATCTTGCACTCCACTGACTGCTCCCTCCGGCACTGAACTATGACCAAGAGGAAAGTTCCTCCTGCCCTGTCAACTCCCCTCAAATAAATAATCAGAATAAGAGGCCAGTTTCTGAGGTTCCTGCTTGGCCAATGTGCTGCTGTTGAACACAGCGCTGAGAGGCAGCGAAGGCTGCAGCCCTTGGCAACAGAGAGCTCTGGCTGCCTCGTAACTGCCTTGGCAGGAGGAGGTGGTTATGGGCATGAAATGTTCATCATCTTGTACTTGCTTTGTTGCCGCTGGGTTACTGTGTAAGTAAAAAGTAGTAATAAGTAACTAAGCAGTGATACTGCGGCCTGCTTCATCTGCTGGTCTTAGTACTTTACTAGGCTTGATGACAAGAGGAGGAGGAGATGAAGGAGGTGTGGACTGTGCACTGAAGATGCCTTCAGTTGCCCATGAAGGGGGGATCTGGTTGGAAATCTGACCAGTCAGGTGGCTTTCTGTTAGGAAGCACTCTCCGAAGCTGTCCAGGGCAGAAGATGACTCGCAGTGTAGGTCAGGTTGTGTGTTCTGTAATGCCCCTGCCAAAGGATGCCTGTTCCTAGCAGGTGGTTTGGAAACAGTGCAGTTGGTGGCCACCTCCTTTTGAGTACAGCCAGCACTGCCCTGGGCATCGGTCCCGCTGCAGCTCTTAGCATCACCTCTAACACTGTGCAGCACCTTGCATGACTGAAACCTGCTGCTCCACCTCTGCCTTCACTTAGCTTCCACCCTACAGGGGACCCTGCAGCAGTCTTGGGGGGCTTTGCTTTGGCTTTGGGGGTGCATGTGCTGCTGTCCTGCTTTATCAGCGCAGTTCCCAACAGGGGACAGCACTACACTGCTGAAGATGCTGTCATTTTTAAGGAACTTTCCTAAACTTATCATCCTAAAAGCTGTATTGTGCAGCAGCAGGCGGCCTCCATAAATCACTG